CATGGCACTGAAATCTCAAGGAGGCCCAATTAGAAATAGAATAGAAGATATGAGTTGTACCAATATCTTCATGAGATCACAGGGTCGTCCTTAAGTGTTGATGTGACATTCCCTCCCAACAAAGCCCTTTCAACCTCCGAGATGATATAAAAGGCAGGCCACCTTGATTCTGCAGCCTCTGGGACTTTTCTCACCCCACAGGCTACTGAGACCCCCCAATATTCAGACACAAGACAAAGGAGATTTTGGAGAGCTGTTTCTTCAAAAGCATGCCCTTAACCTCCTATGATCCTTTGTCCCGGTCATTGACTGGCTCAGTAGCAAATAAGAGAGAAAGTAACTCAAGCTAAGTGAGGTCACCATTCTCACCAGTCCTCTTATTTATACCAGCACTTGTGATCTGGCCTCAGTCAGCTTTCTACATGGAAAAAAATTAGATGTATACTTCCTGACACCATATAAACATAAACACCAGATTAAATATCTAAATGTGAAATTAAAAATTTTAAAACAACTAGAAGAAAGTATGTTATAATATTTTATTATTTAAGAGAAAGATGATTTCTTTATAAAAATAGCAGATGAAGTGTCTGGGTGGCTCATTCAGTTGACCATCTGACTTTTGGTTTTGACTCAGGTCAGGATCTCCTGGTCAGGAGATAGAGCCCCACTTTGGGCTCTCTGCTCAGTGGAAAGCCTGCTTCTCCTCTCCCTCTGCCCCTCCTGCCATGCACACTCTCTCTCTTTCTCTCTCTAAAATAAATGAATAAATCTTTATAAGAAAGCATAAATCATTAGAGAAAGTATTTATGTTATAAAAATGTTAAACTCCTATATGATAATATATATTATAAATTAAAGACAAGCCACATTAGAGAGAACATATTTATAACAGAACAGATGGGAATTAATATCTAAATACAAGTTAACATATATATTATGAATTAATAATAGTTAACATGTATGAATGCACTTTATCCTAATACCCTACATTTATAATCTTATTATACATTTTTCTTTCTACAAACTCGGATGCAAAGAATTTAAATAATTTGTTCAATATTACCTACCTGGTAATGACCTGAGCCAGGATTTGGCAAAGGATATGAACACGCAATTCAAAGAAGAAAGCTAATGATCAGTAGACCAGTATTAGAAAAGTACAAGTTAAAACAATTAAATACTATTTCACAGACGTCAGATTGGCAAAAACCAAAAAGTATAACGAAACTAAGTGTGGCAAAGAAATGGCAAATGAGTAAATTAGTACTGCTTTGCAAGCAATTTGTGACTATCTAGTAAAGCTGAAATGTACACACCTATGTCTCAGTAATACTACATGTAGGTATACACTCCAGAGAAACTCAAGTGTGCACAAGAAGACCTGTGCAAGGATATTCAATGAAGCTCTGTTACAGCAAAATGTTGGAAACAACATAAATGCCCATCATTGGGGGAATAGGTAAATAAACTGAAATTTAGTTGTATAGTGGAATACTATACAGGAATTAATTAGGTAAATGAATTCATTCTCAGTGTGTTATTATAAGTAAATCTAAAAAGCACAATGTCAGGGTACCTGGGTGGCTCTTGATTTTGGCTCAGGTCATGATCTCATGATTTTGAGATTGAGCCCCATGAGGGTCTCTGTGCTGGGCGTGAACCCTGCTTAAGATTCTCTTTCTCCCTCTCCCTCTGCATCTCCTTCCTCATGATCTCTCTCTCTTTCTCTCATAAATAAATAAATAAATAGATAGATAGATAGATAGATAGATAATAACACAATGTTGAGTGGAAAAAAAGGGAAGTTACACATTCTTATTTGAGAGAGATGAAGCAGAGTTACTTTTTCCTATTCTTCCCACTAGTACAACTAAAAACAATGAACATTATATGCAAAATATATAAGATTTTAAAAGCTGGAGAGAAAAAGACAGACTGAGGGAGGACCTCAGGACCCAAAGGACAACATGGCAATGAGTTGTCTGGGTTTTCTTTTTGCCTCAAATATTCTGGACTGGGTGCTGGAGAAGCCAGCAACCCAGAAAAGCCAATAAGTGCAGACCAAAAATGCTCCAACAAAACCTGCTCTCTATATCCAAGAAATGAGAGGGCATCAGCCTAGCAAGACTAAAAACTTTTGGAAAATATCCACTCTGTTGCAGCAGAATACCACAGGAAAATACTATTGCCCCATCTCCACCCTTGCAAGCAAAGTCTATATGGGGAGTCTAGAGTTTCACCCTTGCCAGGCTGTAACAAGATGTCCAACACTACTGCCATAGTGATGTCAGAAAAGACTGAGTAGAGAGCTATAGCACTCATTTCCATTGGGTGGTAACAACAGTGTCAATGCTGTCAGTGGAGACTGTGGTGTCAGTGGAGACTATGTGAGGAACTTGGACTTCCACTCCACCTGGCAGGAATAAGCTTTCTTCCCATTCCCCACTAGACTGATGTCAGAGGAGGCTTAAAAGAGAGTCAGCACTGCCCCATCTTGTGGTGTCAGTGAAGCAACATGTGGAGAAGTAACAAAATATTCCTAATTCACCCAGCCAGGGAAGCATCAGTGAAGGACCAGTAGAGGACTGTAACTCCCACACCTGTCCAGCAGAAATGAGGATCCACCCCCACTGGTACATCAATGAAGTCCAAGGAAGAAAACTGGACTTCTCCTCCCATCTGGTAGCAACCAGGTGGTGCTCCTGCTTTTCCTACCAAAGCAATGTAGGAAAAAAAAAAAGCCAGATCAAATGAAAAGTTTAAAAGATTCAGAGATTTGTAACATACTATACAAAATATCTGGGTTTCAGTTGAAAAACATGTATCATTCTAAGAACCAGGAAGACCTCAACTGAATGAAAAGAAAAGGCAACAGATCCTAATACCAAGATGACAAAGGTGTTAAGATGATCATACAAAGATTTTAAAGCAGCGATCATAAAAATGCTTCAACAAGCAGTTACAAACACATCTGAAATAAATAAATAAAACCAAAACAGAGTCTCAAGAAAGAAATAGGAAGCCTCAAAAAAGAAATAAAGGATATATATAAAAAGCAAATAGAAATTTCAGAACTGAAAAACATGATAACCAAAATTGAAAACTCACTGGATGCAGGGGAAAAAGGAATCAGTGAACTGAAAAAATACAATGATAGAAATTACCCAATCAGAACAACAGAAAGAAAATAGACTTAAAAAAAAAAAAAAGAGCAGAGCCTCAGGGATCTATAAGACTCTAACAAAATATCTAACATATATATAGAACACTCAAAACTCAACAATAAAAAATATCCAGTTAGAAAATGGACACAAGATTTGAAGAGTCATTTCAATGAAGAGAGTATACAGATCCAGTTAAGCATATGAAAGGTTTGGGGTTTTTCAAAAAAGATTTTATTTATGTGACAGAGAGAGAGCACAAGCAGAAAGTAGGCAGAGCGACAGGCAGAGGGAGATGCAGGCTCCCTGCTGAACAGGGAGCCTGATATGGGGCTCCATCCCAGGATCCCAGGATTATGACCTGAGCTGAAGGCAGATACTTAACCAACTGAGCCACCCAGGTGTCCCACAGGTGAAAGGCGTTTAACATCATCAGCCAGGAAGGAAGGAAGGAAGGAAGGAAGGAAGGAAGGAAGGAAGGAAGGAAGGAAGGAAGGAAGGAAGTATTTATTGAGGGCTGATGTCGCAGGTATTGTATGAGGCATTTGTGGGGATGCTTAGATCTTAAGACAAGGATCCTTCTTTCAGGGTATTTACAGTCTACCAGGGCAGGGAAAGTCTCAGATAAATATTATGTGGAGATGGAAAGTGTAAGTGTCCCACTAGAGAGAAAATAAACCCTTTAGGGTTTAGAGTTTCTTTTCCTTTATTATTATTATTTTATTCATGAGAGACAGAGAGGCAGAGACACAGGCAGAGGGAAAAAGCAGCTCCCTGCAGGGAGCCCAATGCAGGACTCAATCCAGACCCCCAGGATCACAACCTGACCCAAAGACAGATGCTCAACCACTGAGCCACCCAGGTGCCCCAGGTTTAGAGTTTCTAGCTAACATGTACCAAGAAAGATGTGTGTCATGGCTGACATTGGGCATGAAGAATGAGTAGGTTTTGGGCAAGAGGAAACATAAGAGAGAAGAAATTTCAGGTGGAAAGAGAATCAGAAGCAAGCCTTGGAATTAATACAAAGTAGAGGGTTCACGTGGCTGGTACAGCCAGGATGAAAAGGAAATGCTAAACTAAGGAAGTGAGGCTAGAACGGGGGGATGGAGGCAGAGCCTGGAGGATTGTACAGATACTAGTTAGAAATGTGCTCTTTGTATTAAAGGTGGCATGATCTATGTTGGTTATATGTGAAAATAACATCATTTGGTGACTATCCCACAGTAGCAAACTAAATGGACCTTCTACTCTTAGGCTACTCTTAAACTTTGAGAAGAGAAGTGCCAATCTCTGATCCTATTGCTCTAATGGCACTAAAATGTGGAGCCTGGAGCTAAAAGAGGAAAGCTAAGGACACAAAGAATATGTTTCCATCTTCTCAAAAAATATATGCTGCAGCAAATTATCAACTGTTATAGATTCATTTGATTCCCAAGCTCCTCTTTTAAAATGCAAACACCCTCAGGAGTTTGGGATTGGAGGGATGGTGGGTTAAATAATTTCTTGAGTTGTGCTTTATCTTCATTGATGAATTCTTTTTATATAGTGGTCTGTTCCATTTGCAAGTTCCTAGATAATCCATCATATTAACAGATAAGAAGAAGAACACAGACACCTCCCTAAAAGGAAATTCAATCACCATGTTGCTTATGTCCATGGAACCTTCAATCATGTAACCTCAACATAAATTTGTGTGATAGGGATGCTACTCTGAGCACACAGGGGAAATAGAAGCTGCTCTGAAAGCTTAGGTTAATCACTGAAAATCAACCAGGCCACTTTCCTATCAAGTCTAGCAAATAATGAGTTTCAACACTGAATATAAAATTATCTGACCTCCCAACACCATTTTGTGGAGAATAGTACTGTATGCATAACAGTGCTTCTCAAACTTTAACACGAAGGCAGATTACTTGCTGATCTTGTTAAACTGTAGATTTTGATCCAGTAGATCTGGGTAGGACCCAAGATTCCAATAGCTTGCAGATGCTGGTGCTGCCAGTGTGTGGACCACACTTGAGTCCTGAAGATAAAGGCAAAGTTTGGGCATCATACAGAACTGTCCAAATTCCAGCTACACAACTTATGAGTTTTGTAGCCTTGGGGAAATCACCTAACTTCTTTGAGGCTTCATCATCTCATCTGTAAAATAGAAATATGAATATTTATCTTGCAGAGTTAGAGAGAAAACTAAATACTATGTATTAAAGGTATTTGGCCAGGGCATGATACACAGTAGTGACTCAACACATGACACTGTAGTTTTTAGGCTTAGTGGACAGCATTACTATAAAAGGCAAAACTTAACTACTAATAGCCAGGATGCCTGGGTGCTTCAGTGGTTGAGTGATCCCATGGTCCTGGGATTGAGTCCCACATCAGGCTCCCTGCATGGAGCCTGCTTCTCCCTCTGCCTGGGTCTCTGCCTCTCTGTCTTTCATGAATAAATAAATAAAATCTCTTTTAAAAAACTACTAATAACCTGCTGTTGACCAAAAGCTCAGTGGAAGAGAGAGTTGTAAATTATTGTTTTAGTACGCAGATAAGAGACATACTATCATTGTTTTCCTATCAATGAGGATAAAACCTCAAGGTGTTCCATTGAGGATAAAACTTCAAGGTGTTCATTTGCTTGTTAGGAATATCGACATACTCTTATGAGTTATTCTTGGCTTATACACATTAGCTTCTTTCTATCAAATCTAAATATTTTATATATTTTATGTATTTTAATAGTTGCCTTAACAGTAAGCGGTACATCTATAGGAAGGTCTATGTCAGAAAGCAATGAACATAAAACTTAAGATGATGATACAAAATTAATCCTAACATTCACACAATAATTTTAGGTCTAGTCTTTCTAATCTTTACCCCTATAGATACAAAGCAAAAAGGAGGCCAGTGCTGTTTCTTTTATTATCTTAGAGAGGTTTGGAGAGCCATATAGGATGGTGGAACAACTCAGGTTGTTCAAGGGTCAACTGTGTATCTCTATCTGGTTTGTAAGAGTCTGGTGTGGTTGCAGACCATGACTGACACTGCAGATTCCCCCTGACTGGTGTGAGGCAGCAGCCAGACCCACAGCTCTTCCAACCCCAGCTGCATTCCTCCCTAGGCTTCTGGGCTTTCTATCTCCTGCCAGGGGCACACTAGCTTTGTGACAATGGGCACAAGATTCTTCTTCAGGTCGTCAGTGAAGTCAGAAGAACGAAGGCAAAAAAAAAAAAAGAAGAAGAAGAACGAAGGCAGTAAGGGACTGATATGGATTTTGATTCATCCTTGCAGGTTCCAGCTTGTCCTTGCTCTCATTTCATGCACTTTCTTTCCTGACTGCCTTCCCTAGTGACATCAGGCCCAGCTCCAGATACAGAGGCAACCTCTGTGTGTAAGCTGTTTAATTAGCTCCCACAATTGTGTAAGGCCAAATCCCTGTAGTAAAACCCATATTCTCTATCACTCCTACTGGTGTGCTTCTCTGATTGAACTCTGATGGGAATATCCAGGTTTTTCCACCTTCCATAACCATAGTCTTGGTTAACATTCCATCAAACACCTTCCCATCTATGCCTACGGACAAGGTAATTCAAAAAGAATTAAACATTTGGGGTGCCTAAGTGGCTTAGTCACTTAAGTGCCTGAGTCTTGATTTCCGCTCAGGTCATGATGTCAGGTCATTAGATTGAGCTCTGTATCAGGCTCCATGCTCAGTGCAGAGTCTGCTTGTCCTTCTCTCTCTGCTCCTCACCCTTGCTTGTGCTCTCTCTCTCTCTCTCAAAGAAAAAAGAAAAAAGAAACACTTTTTAAAATGTCACTCAATGTCAGGTATCTGGAAATTCTCACAGCAAGAGTCCATATTCATTCATTTCTCAATTGCTCTAAAGCAACAGCTTCTATTTTTCTATATTACAAACATGAAGCATGGACTTTTCTTTAGAAGTTATTTTAAACTGCAGAGAAGCCAAAAGAAAATATAATCACCTATAATCCCCACTCCAAGAGGTAACCACTGTCAACATCATATATCTATCTCTTTTGGTATTTTATCAATGCATACAGTATATAATATACCATGTGCCCTTTTTAAAAAATTGAATTACATCATATATCATATTTTTCTTTTTAAAATATACTATGAATGTTTTCTATATCATGATATATTTAATCAGAAGCATAATTTTTAGCTTTATCATATTCCAATATAGTAAACTTCTATTACCTAATTGAGAATATCTAGGCTTATTTGCAGTTTTTATAGAATTCTAAGCAACATTATGATGGACATCCTTATAGTTAAATCTTCACACATATAAATAGTTATTTCCTTAGACCAAATCCCTAGATATGGAATTGCTGAATCAAGGGACTGCAAAATGTTGTCTTCCGAAGCAAATTTTCTGACTTCCAACAACCAAGACCAAGTCCTGTTCCTTCCTAAAAACTTTGTACTGCAATTAACTGGACCAGTTTTTATCCCATTGGTGCCATGAGTCAAGTACGTCTATGTTTCAGGATTTCCATTAGTGCCCATGGTTCTTGGTCATACTGTTCGAGAATGAAGAGGTAGACCAGACATTGGCCAGTAATGCAAAGTTTATTGAGTGATAGCAGAAAGTTCCATAGGTTCCCATATGTCCTCGCTCTCTCCCACAACTACAGCCCTCCACCACTGCTTTCTGGCTGACAGTCTCGGCTATCCTGTCCACTGCTCCCTTGCAGTGGATTCAATAAATTTTTATCTCCTTTGTTCTGCCTTGGGTGAATCCTTTCACTACCTGTGTTAGTGGCCTCCACCCGATTGGGTTACTCCACTCTCCTGATCAAAGCCATTTCATAAGATTCAATACCAAAAGATGTTTTGTTAGATATATTTTAAGTAAAAAATGATTTGGGAAATTGTGTGAATATTGTTCTGATGGTCACAGAATTATGCTGACACACTCCCCAAGATGAAAGAAATTAAACAGAACAAATCGAACTGAACAAGCATTGGGTTATTGACGCCAACAGGCCAGGTCCAGGGACCCAGATGGAGTCCTGCAGGACCAGCCAAGAGGGTCCTTGGCTTCACAAAGGGTGGAAATCAAACTTGAGCCAACAGGAAGTGAGAGCAGAGTTTTTTTGAACATATATAAAGAAGGCAGATATAGATGGAGTATCCAGAAGACTCAGAAAGGAAAAGAGCATGAGTCTGATCTTTGTTTGGGGTCTGGGGCTTTTTATTGGGGATTGTAGTCTGGTGTACATGTCCTCTCAGGAATCCAGGAACTTGTTAGAACAAATACAGTGGCCCAAGTGTTACTTCTTGGAGACAGGGGGCCTTGGCGTTGAGATGTCTAGAACCTGGTGATCTAGAATACACATATGATGGCCTTGTCCACTCATTCTCACCTGATCCTTCCTTAAATGTTATCTTTTCCATAGAAATCATTAACTCTTTGTCCCTTACAAAGAAGACATACACTATTTGCACGATGAGGCATGTGCAAAGTGCGGATACAGGTCCCAGCAAGAATAGAAGCAGTAAAAAGCAGGTTTTTATGGAGTTCTTCAATCTCCCCGTCTCATTATGACCTGGAATATTTACATGTCAAACCTTATAGAATGTAATCAAAGCCATACTTACAGAGATATTAACAGCTTTAAGTGTAAATTTTTTTTTTTTAAAAAAGAGAAAGGTTGAAAATAAATAATCTAAGCTTCTATCTTAAAAGGAACAGCAAACAGGGATCCCTGGGTGGCTCAGTGGTTTAGCTCCTGCCTTCAGCCTGGGGTGTGATTCTGGAGTCCCGGGATCAAGTCCCACATCAGGCTCCCTGCATGGAGCCTGCTTCTCCCTCTGCCTCTCTCTGTCTCTCTCTCTCTCTGTGTCTCTCATGAATAAATAAATAAAATCTTTTTTTTAAAAAAAAGGAACAGCAAACAAATAAAAAGATAAGAAAAAAGATAAAAGCAGAAATCAATAAAATAGAAAGTAGACTGCAACAGAGGAAATCAATAAGATCAAATAAATTAGTTTCAATACATTTTTAGAAATTAGTAGTAAATTGTAAACATTAGTAAGACTGGGCAAGAAAAGAGAAAAATACAAATGACCAGTATCAGGAATGAAAAGGGAGACATTAATGTAGATTCCACAGATATCAAAACAAGATAAGATACTATGAATAACTTCATGCAAATAAATTTGAAAACTTAGATGAAATGGAAAATTTCTGCCCAAAACACAACTAACCAAAAGACAACTAACCAACTTACGTAAAAGAAAATAAAAATTCTAAATAGCCTTATATCTGTTTAAAAAATTGAATCCATAATTAATGCATATTAATGCTCCTAGTAATAATGTTCTAGATCAGTGGCTTTAAAACTGTTTTGAGCAAAACAATAGGAAATACATTTTATACTGTGACCCACTGGGCATAGATGTATGGATGCATATGTATATGAAATAAAAGTTTTATGAAGCAATTCTTACTGTTGTTGGGGAGGAAGAATTTCCTCTGCCCTTCAAGACCCTTCTACCTGGACTAAGAATCAAGTTGACTTGACACAGATTAACGGGAAAAAATCAAATTTGATAGTGTACACATGAGGAAATCAAACAGCGACATGGAAATTCCAAAGACAATGAGGCAATAGGAAACTTACATCAGCTGAATAAAGGGGTAGGGGTCTGAGGACACAAAGGGGAGAACACCATTAGCAGGAAGAGTAAGGAGATGTTTGGAAAACATAGGCGCCCTATTATGCAGATAGGTTTCTTAGGTAAAGAAGAATCTCTGTTAAAAGCTCTTTTCCTTGTACTAGCAGGCAGCAGATGGGGAGATAAAGAGCTTTTCCTGAATCTGCTGAGTTTTGATTGCTTTTAACTCAAAATAATGTTCATGACAAAATTGCCCATCTTGGGACAGCTGGCCCTAAGCCCTACAATCTTAATATGAGGGCACTACTCCATTATTTCAATTCTCCTCTGTTCTTTTAAATGATGGTTGTGAGGTGGGAGCAAAACCAACGCCTGGCTCAGAGCAGTAGCCTCACGGGCCGCCAAGGATTTCTCTGGCTAGTGTTGCTCCCACCAGTCTACAGCATGGGAATTATCTTCACAAACCTCTTCAAGGGCCTTTTTGGCAAAAAAGAAATGT